TAATTTGTTTTCCTGAATAATAATATGGTAGTACAAGGCAGCATTGACATTAAAAAGTAAAATGTTAAAAATATGCATTCTTCATGGTTGTTATTAGGGCATTACTTAATAAGTAATTCAATCTACACACTGTACAAGTTAGAAATAGACACTGTTCTTGTCTTGAAATTTAATCTCTATTAGTGTTAATCTGGGTTACAGGACTATTATTTTCTGTATCCATATTGTATGTACTGTCCAACATTTTCATTTTAACACATCTTCACTGTATCTAAAATGAATAATTTTATGCTTTGAGTAATTTTTGATGTATCTGGTTTCATGATAGCTTTGAGTATGCAAATGCTGCACAAGTATGTGTTATAAACCATCATTATATATGATGTTTGGATGAATGTGAAATGTACATTTATCAGCTATATACCTTAAATGGATGGAATTTTATGGAAACTCAATAATTCAATATTGTACAACTGAATTTACAATTAAATTATTTTCATGAACACAAAATGAGAAGAGAATTTGCCATAGATATACCTTGATCCTGATTAAACCTGTTTAGAAGCTGTTTCCAAACAGAATCTGAAAGAATATGTTCTTGCATGTTTCTCTAGACTGAAGTATGCGTTAATTAAGCAGATATGACTTGCTGAATATAAGCATAGTGGATAATGTGATTGCTCTACAAATATAAGTAAAAATTTCAAAATAATTGCTTTGTTAATGTACAATATTCTAAGAGCAGATTCTCTCATAATTTTTGTTAGTAGTACTATTGAAAATTCAGATATTTTATGAGACGTGTATTTTTGTGGAGTGTTTCTGGAACACAACACTGCATTGCAGCTAAGGAGATAATACACTAGTACATTGCACATGCAACTGCTTACTCTTATTTCAACTGGGAAATAAAAATGTAATGAAACAGAATTTCATTTTGATTTAACTGATTACTCTGTAGGCAGTTTAACTTTTCAAAACCATGTTCATAACATTCACATCTGGCTCTACATCAAAGAGACAAACTTAACATGTATTATGTTTTGTAAGTAACCTCTCATGTGGCTTGAATACACTAACCACTGTTTCAGCAGTAAGTGAGTAATACTAAGTGATGCACTGTTAAGTTTCTAATGCAACGTAAAATAAAACCCTGTTTCTTTGAGCATAAAAAAGTAGAGACCTATTCTGTAATGATATTTTGGACTAGCTGAATTCTAGGTTTACTTCTATACAATATGATGCTGAAGAAGTACTAATGCTGCATCTAAAGTACGTGTTTCTTTGTAGAAGCTCCCGATCGTTGTTCTGTAAGTCATTCTTCATTGAAAGCTATATTCTCCTAAATACATCACAAGTTTAAAGTCAGGTATTGAAATATGGTCTGTCACTTGCAGTGAACAAGTGGCAGGGCTTTTTTTTCTTTTTTTTTTTTTTTTTTTTTTTTTTTTCCCCACATGTGTAAATTAACAGTTAATTGAATTAACACAGTACTTATTTTTCCACTTACTTTTAGGTAGCTTAGGAATCAGCAGTTCTTAAATAAAGATGAAACTGGTTAGTATTACCTGATTTGTGGTTAACCTCCGTTTCCTGACCCGTAACTATGATTGCAGGACAAGAACAGGTCCAACCTTCCATTCTTTTTCAGCTTTCCTTTCCTGTCCCTGCAGGATACTGCTGCTGTTGTCAGGCAGGCAGCACACTGGTGGCCTCTTTGCTTTGCAGCTTCTCACTCAACAAGAAAGTCTCCTGGGCCATGAAAATAAACACTGGTTGTGTTGTATTATGTTTTTTCTAATCGGTTGAGTATAGTGTTTTGTAGAATCATGGAATAGTTTGGGTTGGAAGAAGTCAATAAAGGCCATCTAGTCCAACCCCACTGCCATGAGCAGGGAACATCTTCAACTAGACCAGGTTGCTAAAAGCTGTGTCCAGCCTGACCTTGAATGTTTTCAGGGATGGGGCATCTACTACCTCTCTGGGCAACCTGTTACAGTGTTTCACCATCGTTATGATGAAAAATTTCTTCTGTATCTCTAGTCTGAATCTACTATATTTTAGTTTAAAACCATTAGCTTTTGTTCTATCACTACAGGACCTACTAAAAAGTCTTGCCCCTTTGCTGTGTTCCCAGTACTTGTCTTCATAAACGAGCATGGTATTTTTACAATCAGCACTTCCAACAATACTTCAAATAAAGCAGAATGTACTTAGTCTACCTGGATTTTTTACCTGTTATAGCACAAATATCCTGACTGATCCTAGATGTTGTAGGAGGGATTTTAAGCTTTTTGTCCTCAGATTTTTTCCCCATAACTTGTCTGAAGTAGGCTCTCTGACTGTGGAAGTGAGACTCAAATGCTAGGTTAATGGTTAGACTTGATGATCTTAAAAGCCTTTTCCAACCAAAATTATTCCATTGTTCTGTTCTCTCACTCTCCTCCGCCTCTCAGCAGTTTTTCTCTAAAGGAAATGCAGGCACTCAGGCAGAGTGCCCAGCAAGCACACCTGTTCAGGCAATGCCACATGAGACCAGATACTGAGCACCATGAATGCACTTAAAAGTAGGAACTATCTGCATTTTAGGGACAAGCAGTATCCTTATGCCTTCTGCAATGTCTTTTCTTTCTCCAAAATGGAGGAAATAAGACCACTATGCTTTAGATATAGTGGTACTCAAAGAATTTAAAGTATGTGATCCTCTTGTTTATTGTGATAGTCTGTTATATTTGAGACTATGTTCTGATATGCAGGAGTTTCACATGGAACATTATAGTAGTTGTTAAGTAACCTGAAACCATGAGCTTATTGTTTTAAAATATAATTCGTATTTCTCATTATCTGAAAATTACTTTTACAGCAAAATTCTTATCTGTCCTTTCCAATAATGATTGAAAATGCATCCCTTGTGAAGTGTAATACATTCTATTCTAAGGTCTTAGAATAGAAAGAAATTTACAAAGTCATTGAAAACTTGACTTGTGCAGAAAAATTAATATAAAGGTCAAGAAGGGCTTTGAGATTTTGAAATCTAACTTGTGACTAAAGTAGGAAAAAATATTGCTTCCAATTTTTCCTCAAATGTATTTTAGGTCAATTTTAAGATGGCTTTAATAAGTTTTGCATTAAATTAGTGTCTTCTAATTATATGCCTTTTAAATAAGTCAAAATGAAGAACGAACATTCCCAAACGAAAAGTAAACAGTATCCTAAAATGGTATTGAAATGGTGAATTTTGAAAACACTAGAAATTTTTCAATTCTAAAAAAAAAAAATTCAAAAGAATCAGTAAAAAATATATATATCAGTGAATAAAAGCTAGACGTTTTAGTAGGCTTATGTAAAATGAAATTGTTTATTTGTTTACCATAGTAAGGCTATTTGATTTTCAACCTTTCAGTGCTCAGTTTTATTTAGGTAACGTAAACAACTTCAGAAACAGGCATGTTTTTTTCTCCAGACAACATGGAGGCACAACTGTGCTTCCAACTTTAATGAAATTGCTAAATAGCAGCATTCGTCCTCATTTCAAATATGAAGCTACCACTTATTTGATCATCAATAATTTTCATATGTTTCATTAGACTTCTTGCAGTAATCTGAGCTATTTATTCATCTCACTTTCACAGAGTATCTGGGTATCATCAACGACAGTATGATTTCTTTTGCAAAGCAATATATCATAATATATCATAATATATTGCAATAGATCATAAGTATTTTTGTAATTCCTTTCCATTCCCTTTATTACATTCATTAATTAAAAATAACCAGATTTTTTTCACAATAAAAATATAATTTCATCTGAAAGTTACAAGAATTGTTTCGATTTTATAGCTGATTCTGCAAATTAAGGGCTGCTATGGCAATTCTTAATCCCAAAATTAGTTATCACATCTTTTGTATTGCTTATTATATATTTTGATAGTGTGTACTTGCATATTAAACTGACAACTTCCACATTATAGAAGCAGGTGTTTTTCTCAAACCTGTAAGTCAGATTGATCAACTGAAACGACATACTTGGATTTTCTTGTCCATAATGCCTTCCTCATAGTTTTTACCCATATGGATTGATGGGTCATTCCAGGTGTATATTAAAAAGCTAACTAAGGATCAGTGAGAAAATTGTCAGATAAGTATTCCTCAGAATCTTCTAATCTGCCTTACAGGTGGTTGCACTGTATGCAGTTCATTGCTTTTCAAAACCATTTTCAGAACTAAACTTTTACTTTCACTTCTGCATACAGTAAGATTAGATTAAATAAAAAAAGAAATTGGAATCAATATAACAGGCAAAACACCAAAGAATAAGAACTAGAAATTGAAAAGCATAGTAAATTTTACAGAGTTTTAATATCTGCAAACTTTTTTTATTGCACTTCTGGGTGCAATTGAATAGGTCCATTTGATTTTAGAATTATTTTAGTATTTAGGAAGTTTGAGACATCTGGGAGTTTTGTTTCATAGAATATGAGATGAATTGTGGTATCTTAGTTATATTTTTGCTTGTTTTGTTTTCTTCTTTTTGTTTTCTTATTCTGTTCAAGTTTGTATAAGAACCAAATGAAAGATACCCATTTCTGTTATGTTGATTTGTTGGAGTTGACAGAATGTGCTCATGTGTTCTCATTTTTTTCATTGGCAAGAAACTGTAGTTTAAGCTGAGCCCACCTCAGAAACCTCTGCATGGATCAGAATTTCAAGATCTCAGAGTTTAGATACATTCTAAATTATTGTGCTGTCTTTCACACATGACACTGAAATAGATGTTTTTCATAGTTATTTAAATCCTATCCTGATGTGGAGTAGTGAAATAGTTATGAAATGAATTTGACAGTATTTTATAATACAAATTACCTACCAATCTTACAGAAACCCAAGTATTTTATAGAAATCTCATGTATTCAGTATATTTTGGATATTCCATGTATGCTGATGATTACTTTTATTTTTACAAAATATCTTAGATTAAACATTCACTTTATCAATTTCAGGAGCTGATGCTGTGGAGGCCCAGTGTAAGAGATTTGAAGTGAGGGCAAGTGAAGGTGGAAAAGTATTGTTTTCTGCAGATGAAGATGAGATTGTCATTGGAGCTGACAGACTGAAAGTAACAGGTACAGTAATGATAAGATTTCTAAATTGATGTCTTATCATCAGTGATTGCTTGACCAAACAAAAGATATTGCATAATCTAAAAATAAATTCCTCTAAACGCAGATTAGAATTTAAGCTCTGCAGGACCAACTATGGTACAAATCACCTTTACCACAGTGATTTGGCTTTTAGATGTTACCATTAAGCATTCTTATGTGATACCCATGCCATTTCTTTAAATAATGCCACTTCACCATGATTAAAACTATTGTTATATACTGTGACTTTTGTTTTTTCTGTAAACAGAATATCAAATCTAACTTCCATGTGAATTAGGTGTGTACTCTGCTTTACTTTAGGAGGCTCAGCTGAAAGTAGTAAACCCTTGCTTTCGTTTGAACTTTTGTTCAAAAAATAAGTAATTTTCATTGCTATTTAGGTTTGTGTCAGTCTATATCTGGATATGCCTGCTTTACAGAGTTTGAAATCAGCCTACTAGTTTCAAAATTAAGTTATGTAGAAAGTGTAAAATGGTTCTGGTTTGTGGGGATTATGATAAGATATCCCTTTCTGTAAAACTGAGAAATGCATTACTCACAACTTTAAAGTTTTTTTAAGATAAAGTTAGGTAGTTCTACTACCTTATGATGCCAGATGTAGCATTAAAATAGATCCAGGAAGTCCAGAATCAAGCCATGACTGGACTTGCTTCATAAGCCTCATAAGATTGATGCTCGCCAATATGTGTGGAATAACTTTTCTTCCCTTCATTCCTATCTGACCTTTATGAATTTTTTGCCAGTAAAGGAATCCATTTCAATACTGCTAAACCAAAAGAAAAGGCTTTTACAGTTTAGGGACATTGCAGTATCTGATATAATACACTAAATTCTATTGGTTTACCAAATTTGGGGTTAGGAGAGGGAAATATCAGTGGTTTCTTGAGTCAGCAGCAATTCGTCATAGATAGTAGTTGTATAACCATTTTACCATAGTAAAACTTAGGACAATAGCTATAATAAACCAGTAAGAAAAAGGAGAATTATAGTAAATTATGCTAAGGTTCAAACTTGATCACAATATTAAATGCTGAGAAAGTTAATCTTAAACTTACAACACAGGAATTTTCAAAGAATCTATCATAAGTTGAAAAATAAAAACATCTTACAAATGGTGCTGAAGATTAGCTTTCCTGCCATTAAGAAACATAATCATAAGTTGTAGATGTTATGGTCATTCTTTTCATCAGACTTAAAAAGCAAAGCAGTATTCAAGTGTGCTTTACCTTCAAGTGGGTTTGAATTCCCAAAGCACCTGTTCACATCAGTGGTATAGAAAGCAGACTAAGTAATGACAATGTATTCAATTATGCTTAACATGGAATATAAGATTCCTTGTGAAAAAGAGTTTTTCCTTAATTCTAGAAATGCAGCTGACTATATGTATATTTATGTTAAGCTCTCTTGTCCAAATTCAAAAAAGAAAAAAGGATAGTGCTGTTTTGATGTATTCATCTGAGTTTCAGGGCTTACTGTGTACTTGTTGAGTTCTACCAGAGAATCTCACTACTGGAATTGTTTGTACAAGTAACTGATTTTTCTTCTGCATCTGAAATGAAGAAAAACAACACAACAGTTAGGATTGAATTTTCAAATAAATTATTTCATTGCACTAGAAAAATTATTTTAGAGATAAGAAATTAAAATATTTAATTACTTGCACACAAACACACACAAAAATATTTAAGCAACATTTAAGCATCACAAAGAAAATATACATATTTATCAGGTTCCAAGCATTGTTCTTTAGGTCATTAAGTTAAATACACATTATATTCCATTGAATAGTCTAAAGTCCAACATTTCAGGTAGTTTCTTTAGGATAACATTTAAAGGTGTTTTGTAATTGTCATCTGAAAGAGTAATTTACTTTTAAAAATCCCCTGAAAATTACTGTCTTCTTTTGTGTTCATTCAGAAGTAATTTTATGACATTGGGTTCATTTTTTCTAATCACTGGATAATTGTCTAGTCTTGAAATCAGATTTGATTAGTAAACTACCTTATAATGAGGCTATAAAAGTCTAGTTTCAAAATTTTATGCTTTAAATCCCTAGGGCCCTCTTTAGGTTAACCCTTCTGTCATCTCATTAGAGAAAAAATTATCATTCCATAGAATGCAGAGAAGAGTATTAGATTTCTAAATGAATGAGCATTTCTGAAAAGCTTAGATAAAATAACCTCATATCCCAGTTTCAGTATCCCTAAAAGGCTTTCTGCAGCATAAGTACTAATCTGCAGCCAAATAATAAAGCTATAATGAGACATCTATGCTTCACTGTTGAGTTTGGTCTAAAGCCAAAATTATTTGACACAGATTTCCCAACTGGGACTAAAAGTTGTAAGAACCATGCAATCTCAAGAAAATTACTGAAAAAAAATCTCCAAGAGGGTAAAAAAAATATATCTACCTTCATGGAAAAATAAAATAGCAGAATCTATCTTTCATATAGTAGCTCTTCGAATTTTGTGATACCTTTAAATTCCTCAGCAAACACATGAAAGATCATGAGTCCTTGTGAGTTGCATCAATCAGACTGCATTACTGATATGACATGTTATGACTGATGGAACTTGGCAAGGCATCATGTCAAACAACAACCAGAAAAAAAAAAAAAAAAGTATATTTTTCTCAAGCCTGTGTTTTGATGCCTTGGAGTGAAGAGAGGAAAAGAGTTGTGGAAAAACAGGAAAAAAAAATATTAAAAAAAAATCAATGTCAAAAAGCAAAAATAAGCTGTGATTGTTTGGAGATGAAACGCTCATATGTAGTTAATTAAGTGCAGTACTACAATGCAAACCTGATTTTATTTTCTTGCTTAGCTGTGAATCATGTCTCTTTGGAAACACTTCACTGTGAATGGGCCCAAAAAAAGATGCATTTTGGTAATTAATTTTCTAAAGTCTCCCTATTGCATGGGCATTTAGAAACCATTATGGCAATGTGGGATTTATTTTGTTTGATTTTTTTTCTCAATTCATAAGAATGCTTTGGTAATGCTCAGCTTTAAAAAGCTTATTTTTTAAATACTCATAAGAGAATATAAAAAAAAATATTGATTAATAAAACATGGAAAGATTGAGTTTACAGTTTCTCATAGATTATTTTGTTGCATTTTTATTTGTAATTTTTTATGTAGGCAGCCCATTCCAGGGAGAAAGGTATAGTAGAAGCAGACTAGTAATTCAGATAGCAATATATTTCCCAGATAAGAAAAGTACAGAGTCAGAAGTAGTACTTCTTGTTTTAGAAAAATTGCAGCTATATATTTCCCTATTAAGAGTGTCTCACTTTAAAATTATGCAGTGGGATGATTTAATTTAGACTTTTTATTCTTTCTTATGTCCTTGCTTTTGCTTTTAATTGTGTTAGCTCTTTTCTACCGTATCATTCAAGAAAAGAAGAAAAAAAAGCTTCAAACTTTCCTTTGATAGACAGAGCCATTAGAATTGCAGCTGACTCTTGTCCCTTTTGTGCTGGGATGCCTTTGGCTGCCAAAGTTAACATGTATCCATAGAGCTTTGTAGGGAGGGAAGAGAGAAGTATGAAGTAAATATATTGCCAAAGGGCTGGGAAACAAGCAGGAATCACGAGCTGAGTTTCTGGTGGGTGCACAGATTCCTTTCTGCACGTGGTTAAACATTTCTCCATCCCTTATATTCACCCTGTCCCAGTGAATTGACGGCATCTATAGCATCATAAAGTTGTCTTCACTCCCTCTGTAGTGACAGAACAGGATGATGTTTGGCTTTTACTTCTGTTATTTATTTCTTAATACAAAGTTTTCCGCTCTTTGCTTTAATTTTCTATTTCATCATATTGGTCATGCTCGTCAGTGAGAATGCAAGCATATGTCACAACTCAGCTTTATCCTGCCAGAGTACTTTTGAGAAAAGAGATTAAGGAGGCCTAGCTCTGTATACATTTTTCTGTTGTAATTCTTTCTATAAAAACTTCCACTGTATGTCTCCATTAGTAAAGTTCCTCTTCCTCTTGTTTCTTAAACCAAACTTGTAGTTAGCAACTGTATTAGAAGTACTAAGCAAAGTGGAAGTGGTCTAGTTATATTCTATGCAAAACACCTACTTTTTTGACAATGTGAGGTTGTTTTTTGCCTCTGCCTTTTGAAGTGGTTTGCTTAGTTAAAGCTAAGAGCACATTATCAGGAACTACTTTTTTCCCATCAAACTTACAATATTTTATCCAAATTATGCAAACATTTTGTTTTGTTCAAGAGTATTTCTCTGTGATATTTAAAGGAGAAGAGACTGTGATTTTATTATGACATTGTCGCCTACACTTTCGTCTAACCTATATACTTTATTCAGACTTTGCTGTACCATTCGTTATTTAACCATGATTTATTACTTCCCCTTCTTTCAAAACCCATAAAAATGATACTTTAACTTGATTTTTTACATGTTCACATACCTCCTTCTAAATTAGTTGTGCTTGCATTTGTGGCTTTTTATTAGTAACGTTTTTTAAAAGCCAAGGTAAAAATGGATTTGCAAATTAAAACACATATGTCTTCCATCCAAACCCTGTTTTGAAATCAAATCCAATTATGTTTTCTAGATGCAGAAAATAAGCTGTATTACTTTTTCTAAATAACCCAGTCTAGATTGTTTGGAAAATATTACTCATCTTTATGGAGTTTCCTATTACTTTCTTAACTGCTGGCTTATTTTCTTTCATTTTTTATTGCTGTCTGACTGCTACAATTTGTTTTAGCAAAGGATGTTAAGTTTTTTATGGATAAACTTATTTTTAAAAAATAATTATAATTAATACCTTAACAGTAATATTTTTTTTCTCTAAAAATAAATAAGAAGCTAATTCAAAACTTGTCATTTAATGTTTTACCAAGATGTTGGTAATAGTTCTATAGAGTTCAGCTATTTCCACAATTTTTTGAAATACAAAACTCTTTCAATATGTGGAGCTCCATGTCTGTATCG